TTTTTTTGGTTTTTCTCCAGTGCCGGAACTGAACTCACGACCTTGCGCTTGCCAGGCAGGCGCTTTGCCGCTGAGCTAAATCGCCAGCCCCCTATAAAAAGCTTAAAAATAATGTTAAATTCCAAAAGTATGGGCTATGATTTGCATACATAGTACCACCGTTATGTGTGTGTGTATTTTTTGAAACAGTATCTCACTCCTTTGCACAGGATGGCCTCAAACTTTTGGGCTCTGGCTGGGGGTGGTGGCATATGCCTATAGTTCCAGCACTTGGGAGGCTTAAGTAGAAGGATTGCTTTGAGTTCGAGACCAGCCTGGGCTACAAAGTGAGCTCAAGGCCAGCCTGAACTGCATAGCAAGACCCTGTCTCAAAAAGACCAAAAAAAAAAATCACCAAAACAGAAACTCCTGGGCACACACATCACCATACCTGGCTACAAAATATAGTTTTTAAAAGTACATACATAAGTCTTAGAAAAGAGACAAATGTACTAAAATTTTAAGAGTAATTCCAGAATTAAAGATAGATTTCCTCCCTCACAATCTGAAGTGTAAGTAGGTTACTTGCATAATTAAAAAAAAACCCAGTAAGTTTAGTTCTGCTGCTTCTGTTAAAGGTGCTCTTTCTGTTACCCCAAACACTGAGAGAAGAGGCATTAAAGGTTAGTCTGCTCGCCCACCTGGGACAAGGAGGCAAGCACTGAGGCTTAAGGAAAACGAAGATATACATGTAAACAAATTCTTTAATTAATGGAAAGCAATGCCAATATTAATATAAACTGAAAACACAAATCTGCCGCAGCGTTCACTGCAGGATGAAGAAGTATTCACAGCCCCTTGGCTGGAATGAAGGACGCCACCTGAGGCCTCACCCATCGCCAAGATGGAGAAGAACCTATGGTCCTGGCACCTGGCTCCTGTCTTAGGGACACAGACACATGGACGGACGGACGAACACACACACACACCAGCTGGCTGGTCCTGCCACTGCCCACACACGAGTGTGGAAGCCACGTACCGAACCTGGTTCTCCAAGAAGTGCATGTACCGATAGAGCAGGGTGTAGGAAGGAGAGAGGATGCCCACAGACTTCATCCTGGCCCCGCGCTCCAGCTCGCTCTCCACGGGCATGTTGGCGAAGCAGGCCAGGCCGAAGAAGGGTCCCTTTCGAAAATAGCTGAAAAACACCAAACAGGTACTGGGCTTGAAATCAGGAAGAAAAACTGTGTTGTGTTTTTCTCTAAAATGCAGTCCCTCAAACAAAGCAACACAACACAAATGAACTGTATGCAGAGCTCTGAGTAACAAAGCCTTAAACGGCTGAACCTCACAGATCAGACCGGCAAGGCTCGGGAGTACAGAGCTCACCAGCTGAGGATCACCCCGCTGCAGTCGGAACTTGGGGTCCAGCAGCCTTGCCACCTACTGCCCCTGATCATGGACACAGCCCTCCTCCTCCTCCTCCTCCTCCATCACAGCTTATGATGAGGACAGTCAGAGCCAGAACGAAGATCCTTCCTCAGGCCCCTCCAGAACGCGTAGTGTGTTCTCAGCATAAACCCCGGTGATTCTTCTTGCACTTCCTGAGCCTGATATCTTCCACACAGCTGTCACTTTGTTCCCATCTCCTTCTTCCCACTTGTATCTGTCACGGTTTCAGCCCAGTGAGGAAGCTAAAGCTACCAAATTATCCTTAAGGTTTTTTTCCATTTGCTCCTCCTCACAAAACTCACAAGGCACCAATTATACAGGACCCAAAACTGGTGGTGCAACCTGTAATCCCAGCACTCTGGGAGGCTGAGGCAGGTGGGTCACAAGTTAAAGCCCAGCCTGGGCAACTGAGTGACTCAGTGAGACCCTGTCTTAAAATTTTAAAAAGAGGAGTGTGAGGCTGGAGATATAGCTCAATGTAAAGGCCCTGGGGTCAATCCCCAGTACTACATAGAAAAAAAAAAGTAAGAACTTCAAGTTTTGGCCCACAGATGTCCTAACCTACAATGAGATCCAACTCCACTCTTTCAAACCTTAACACCAAACTTCAAGTGAGGTCCACCTAATTTCTTAGCAACTGAGAGAAGCTTTATGGCAGGAGTTCTTAGCTTTTCTGAGTCAGGAAGGCCACTGAAAATTTGATGAAAGCTAGATATTCTTGCTAGAAAATTGATACAATATGAAATCAAATATTGAATACAATATGAAATTGATACAATATGAAATCAAAATACAATATACACTGTATTTTCAGAGCATCTGCAGCCGCTTTATCTGAAGAACCCTCTGATAAGAGCTTTTATGCCCTGGAAAAATGGCGGGGCGTGGGAATGAAGGAAATGGTACAGGAAGCCTTGGGTTCCAAAGTACTTACATGAAATCAGACTGGATTTTATGGGACCCACTGGCCATTGACTTGAACTCAACGCCTTCAAGGTCAATATCTTGAGGTAAGCACCATTCTACCATGTTTCCTGTGGGAAAGGGAGAATACAAATTTTGTTTTGTTTTGTTTTTTGTTTTTCTTCCGGTACCAGGAATCGAACTCACAACCTTGCACTTGCCAGGCAGGCGCTGTGCCGCTGAGCCAAATCCCTAGCCCTGAGAATACAAATTTTTAAAAAATGCTTCACAAAAAGGTATTCCTGACTCAGCCTCATACTGGACCCTGGAGATGTTCACACACTCATCTCATCTGTCGCCCAGTGAGTCACTGTAGACAACAGGAGTCGGGGAGGGGAAGGATGCTGCACACAGTCGCTGCTGCGTTCACACACAGCTGCGTCCTCCACTCAGCTGATTCGGTTCTGCCATTCTGACCAGCCACTTCCAAATCTTCTTCTCACAGCTTCACTTGTCTAGATAGCTTCCTCATCTTATCGCATACTCTCCCCTTAGTAGCTTGAGATCTTGTTTCCATTTCACCTTTCTACATGGCCACTAATAACTTTGACGAATCCCAAAGCTCTTTATTTAAAAAAAAATTCTCAGTGTCATTTGCTTCAATAAGGTATATGCTTGCCAGGTGTAGTGGTACACAACTGCAATCCCAGCACTTGGGAGGCTGAGGCAGGAGGATCATTGCAAGTTCGAGACCAGCATGAGCTACAAAGTGAGCTCAAGGCCAGCCACAATTATATAGCAAGACTGTCTCAAAGACAAAAAAAACCCCAAAAAACATAAAACAAGGTATATGCTGATTCCTCAAGTAGTTCTCCTCCTTTTCCTTGATGTCCCTGATGGAATACTATTTTGGATCTCTTCCTACTTCCCTGATCAGCGCAGCTCCGCTTCCCTCCCTCTCTCCCCTCAGACGTGGGCATTCGTCAAGGGTCAACCATCTTTGCTTCCAGAATTTCGGGACTCAGTCACTGATCACTGCGTTTTTACGGAACTTGATGTTGGAGACACAAAGTAAAAGAAGACATACTCCCTGAAGACAAAGAAATCACAGTCCAGAGATAAACAAGAAGCTACAGAAAGAGAGCAGCAATCCAGTGCTTCGTGGACCCAAGGTAAGGTGGAATTTTAGGGTGCAGCCACAAGCACCCTCTAGACTGAGGGAATCTGAGGGCTGTACAAGTAGAAATGCAGCCTAGAGGAGGCTGAGAATGCTGCAGAATAGTCCTTATTGTCTTCATGCTAATTCAAAAAAATTCAAAACTGAACACTAAGCTACTTGAACTTCATTTTTCAGCAAACTTATTAATGCTCTGAACCCTAACTATCCAGGCACTAAAAATACCATCTACAATCTAGCTAACAATGCTGTCCGGTAACTGTCCAGGGCATCAGAGAATACAGGACACAGACAGCGTAGTCTCCCTGACACTCCAGACACGGTGGAGGACTAGCCAACCCACACTTGACAGTCCGAGGCACTTTTCAATAGAAGAATCATGATGTCAACCAACTTGGTAATTCATTAAAACAGAAAGCATCAAGAGGGAAATTACATTTTCGTAAGGCAGAAAAGCTACAACCACCTCGTGTTTGTCAGAGTTAAAGAAAAAGCGCTCAGAAAGAGGTGAGTTTGGAAATAAAGGTTGAGCTTTGGAAGCATCAAGTTCCCCCACCTTTCTGCGTCTCCCCCTTACCATGCCTGTGCACTATTACCAGACTCCAGAGGAGCTTTCCCTGAGAAGGTACCAGGACCGCAAGGGCCATTAGAAAGGTTCTGGGGTCTGCTCCGGGTCTGCAACATTATGGTGTCCCCGAGTCCGCCACACTGGTGGTTCTTTGTGCCGGAGATGAGAGCCCAGGAGGTGTCCCCTGTACACACCATACTGGCAACACTTGGCAAGGACAGAGAAAGGACAGCCTGGGATCGCAGCGTGTGGCCCTCCACAGGCTTTGTTCTTCTCCATTTTCCACTGCCTTGGGTACTCAGCCCATTCCTTACAGGGTTCAATCAGCTATAACTTAGCTTCCTTCCCCCAAACTGGCCTCCCCACGATGACTCCACAGCTTGTGAAAACTTTGAACTTTCTACTGCAGCATAACCGGTAAGGACATGAATGGCAACTATACAACTCATTGCATGTCCCCAAGGGAACACGCCTGTGTACCTGGCCAGGCATGGCCCCTGGGTCAGGAAACAGAACATGACCTGCCCAGGGGAGCCCCTTCAGCGCCCTCCAGGGCATTTATCCGCTCTGAGAAAGAACCAGGACCTTGAATTCACCTGCCATGAAGCAGCTGTATCTGTTTTGAAATACCTATACATGCAACCGTAGTTTTTGTCTTCTTTTGCTCAGTGTTTTTGTAAGATTCATCCATGTGGATGGATGTAGCAGCATCTCGTCCATCAATGCACTATCATCTGCAGGTAGCAATGTATGTATCTACTTCATGTCAATGGCCCTCTAGGTTATTTCCAGTCTACAGCTACTGCAGCTAGGCTTGCCGTAAACAGTTCTATACCGGTCATCTGGTGGGTACACAGGTGTGGTGGCTTTACAATGCACAAGCCTCGCTGGACTGAACCATACCCTCCAAGTTCCCAGCCCTGTGCTTTTCCAGCTGGGCTGTGGAAGTGCAGCAGCAGCAGCCAGGCTGGGTCTGTATCTGGAAGGTGCGCGCAGGAGCACTGAGCAGCCACCTGCACTGCAGCTCATCCACAGGCTCAGCAGAGGTGAGGGGCAGCGGCCCCTGGAGCCGTCTTCCTCTGGCCCTTCTTCGGCTCCTTTGACTGCTGAGCTGGGTGTGTTCAATTCCATAATGAAGGACACCAGCTTCCATGATCCTCCTGCCTCAGCCTCCCAGTGCTGGGATTACAGGTGTGCACCACCATGCCCGGTCAGTGATCACTGAGTTTTTACACTGTCTAACCAGCTCTCACAATTATGTAAGATCAAGTCCCTGTGACAACTACATCCTCTGCTCATTCTGTTTTTGACTGAACCTCGACTCACAGTTCTGCCGACTATGTCTCTTAAATTCAGAACAGCTTTAAAAACGTTTGCATCACTGCAAAGGAATCCTCAGTGATTCTAAAGCTAGTATAATGGGGAGCCTGCAAAAAAGGCAAAGTAAATACAATGTTGTTGAAAGGGTGTTTTCACTTAGTTATCTTAGGTTAAACAAAGACCAATGTATGCCTTTACACTAGAGCTCATCAGAGCCATCAATATGTCACTGCACTGAGAACCTAGATGAGATCAATACATTGTTTAATGTTTCCCAAAAGCATCTGGTTAATACACTATTTTCTTTTTTTGCCAGTACCAGGAATCAAACTCAGGACCTTGCGCTTGCCAAGCAGGCTCTGTGCCACTGAGCTATATCCCCAGTCAATACAGTATTTTCATGGAGTATCTTAAGGCACTAATTTTACAGAAGGCTTTTTTTTTAAACAATTGCTGGGATATCAGGGCTGCAGGCTGCCTCTCAATACACTCTCACAAAGAGCAGAACTCACTATTTTTAGCTTGGTACATGGCCATCCAAATGAAGCCTGTGTTTCTCGCCACCTTTCTGCATGCAGGTTTGGCTCCACGAATAAATTCCAGCCAGTGGAGTGTGGACAGAAATGAGGTGTATGATTTCCAGCACGTACCCAAAAGCCAAGGAGCACGGCATCCCTTCCTCCATCTTCCTGCCTGGAACGTGCAGGTGCTGACATATGGAGGGAACGACAGAGCCAAAAATCACCATGAACCCGGGTCCCGAGCAAAATTAGACAGTAGAATGATGGGGGAGGGGTAGAGCACTGGGGATTGTTAGGATTTGAGATCATATTCTAACCCTTGGCCAGCTGTGTCCTGATGTCACATAAAAAAGAAACCCCTCTTGTGTAGCCACAGTTAGCTTGGATCCTTCACACTCAGAGCCAAAACCAGGTCTATGAAATACAGCTGACCTAGAGGACAGAGTCCCCGTTCCTCAGCCTTGCACTTGGAGGCCTCCTCCTTCCTCTGCCTGGTCAGTTCTTGCTGCCCAGAAAGAAAGAAACTGAGGGAGGCAATGATATCCTGTCTGTTGTGTCCTTCATCCATAAATGGACACCAGCCTGTCTGGGCTGGGAAATACACTCATCAGTAGCAGGACGGTGAACCGTGGCTTTGGGCTCGGGATCCAGAACTCCACTCTGGGAAGTCATCCTCTTCCCTCCAAAAGCACACTGCCGCTAGCGTACTCTTGTAAGGCATCCGTAGCCCTTATCGCAGCCTATTACAATCTCTCTGATATCTGTCTCCCTGAAGCCTGTGAACTTCTGAAAAGCAGGGCCTCTGCTTGTCTTCGGATTCCAATACTGCACGGGGCCTTGCACACATTGGGAAGGGCATTAAAAAAAAAAAAAAAGAACAGCAACTTTGATAAAGACAGGTAGTTAGGTAGTTGATCAATCAGTGTAAATTACCCTAGGGGTTGCAGGGATACTGTAGTTTTGTAAGGAGATTTTTTTTTTTCTCAAATATTTAGGAGTATGGTCTTATATCTACAACTAACTTTCAAATGGGTCAGGAAACAATGTATATCTGTATCTGTATATAGTCAGTCTACTTCTGCTTGCTGAATTTGTGTCAGTACAACCCATACATTAGGAAGCAGCATGAACACAAAGAATTTCATATTTGCTTATGGTATAAATTCAATGCAATTTCAATCAAAATTCTAGTAAGTTATTTAGTGGAGGTCGAAAAATTAATTCAGAGGCTTATATGGAAAGGCAAGTGACCCAAACGGCAACACGATTCTGAAGGATATAACTGAAGAACATTATCCTACTTCACAACTTATATAAAACTATGTAATCAAGAGAGCGTATGGGAAAAATATCAGCAAATATAGCAATGAGAGGCCAAAACCAGTCGACCATACAAATACATTCAGCTCATCTTTGCTGAAGGAGCAAAGGCATACAATGAACAAAAGACTTTTCAACAAAGGATGCCAGAACAAGTGGACATGAACATGCAAAAAAGAAAAAAAGAATCTAGACAATCCTTACACTCTTCACAAAAACTATCCA